AGCTATGATGATCAAGACCGTGTGGGGTTAGCATAAAGATAGACATACACTGATCAGATATAATGCTGAATCCAGAAAGAGATCCACACAATTGAAAGTACTAGGGTAATTCAATGGAGAAAAGATATCCATTTTCAAAAAAACAATGAGGGTACACCATTTGTTGGGTATCCTAATAAGGAAAAAACTAAATAAAACCCTTGACCCTTACCTCACACCATATACAAAAATTAATTAGAATCACAAACTCAAATGTAAACCCAAAAGCTAGAGGACAATAGGTAAGAGAACATCTTTGTGACCTGTGGGTAAATAAAGTTTTATTAAATAAGGGATAAAAATAATAAACCACACATTTTTAAAAAAGATGATCTGAATGTTATTAAAATAAAAAAGTGTGCTCTTTGATAAGAAAAATTAGTAAGCCACAGACTTGAAGAAAATATTGTAATACACATATCTGACAAAGAACTGGTGACCAGAAAATTTAGGAACTCTTAGAACTCAATGATAAGAAGCTGGATAACCTAAGTTTTAAAAATGGACTAAAGATTTGAACTGACACTTCAGAAAACAATATATGTGAATGGTCAATTCGTATATGAAAAGAGGTCAACACACTAGTAATAAGGAAAATGCGAAGTAAAGCCAAAAAGAGACATGACTGCCCACCCACTGAATGTATGAGATTAAAAGCACTGACAAGAACAAGTGTTGATCAAAATGTGAAGCCACTGGAATCCTCATGCATCACCAATGGAAAGGTCAAATGGTGCAACTCCTTTTGGGAACTGTTTGGCAGTTTCTTGAAAAGTTACACATTCACAGACTATACAACCCAGCAATTCTACTCCGAGACGTTTACCCAAGAGAAAGGCAAGCATTGAGTCACACAAAGACTTGTACATAAATGTTCACAGAAGCTTTATTAGTAATCGCCAAAAACATGGAAACAATTCATCAACAGATGAATGGATAAACAAAATGTGGAATATCTAGGTAATGGAATTTTGTTCAAACAGAGAAAAAGAATGATTACTTAGGCTACAACATGAGTGAAACTCAAAAACAGTACACTACGTGAAAAAAGTCTGATGCAAATGGCTACATATCATACAGTTTCATTTATGGGAGGTGTCCAGAAAAGGTGAATTTGTATAGTGAGAAGTCAGATGAGGAATTGCCAGAATCTGGGGTTAAGAGAGTTAACTGCAAAGAGGAAGGAAGGAAGATGTTGGGGTGTTAAGTGAAGTGAAGATGTTAAGTGAAGCCATGTCTACATTACCTAGTAAGTACCTTGAAAATAGGGGACTCTCAACATTTCTTTCCTTCCCTTCCTTTTCCTACTGGCCTCCTACGCCCTCCCCTTTCCTTTCTCCTTCCTCCTTCTTCCCTTCCTCCTTCCCTTTCCTCCTCCATTCATTTCATATTGTTTTCTGCTTGATAATTCACCAGTGCGAATCTTTGCTAAGGTGTGAATGGCCAATAGTATGTCGATGTGAGGTTGCTTCCAGGGGACTCTTAATGAGGAACTCTTGAGATGGTCTATCCAGGGCCTTGGTGAGGGATTGGTCCCTGGGGATAGAACTTTTTCTACATAGTAGACTTTGAAAGAGAGCTGTTATTAATTAGTCCGATGTATTCTTGGCTGGGGAAATGTAACCATTTATTTAGTAGAAAAACAAACATAAATCTCCAGATAGGCACTCTGTATTAATCAGACAAGTGGAATTTCAAGCTTTATTTCTCATGTTTGGTCTTTGTTGCTCTAGAAGGCAGGGTAGCATTTGTGGAAAAAGCATCACCTTTTAAGTCAAGCAGACCGCCGTTTGAGTAATAACACTGCTTATTAGCTAAGTGATAGGGAGCTCTTAACTCTAAATTCTTACCGCAGTTCGATGTTTGGAAACCAGGCATTGAAGAGAGATATGAGGGAGGCTAAAAGAAGTTCACACTGAAATAAAGAGAAGTTTCAGTCTCCTGGGTGAAACTAGAAACTCATGATTGGGGCTCTAATTAGTCAAGAGACATATGGCTGTTCAAATGGAACAGTACCTGGAATCTGCTTGTATTTTAATTTCCTGTTATATTCTTTAGTAAGTATGGTAATACAGACGTAACCAAAAGTGAATTATCACTAGGTTAGTTAACTATCTGGTTAGTTGCTTTGGGCTGGTACTAATGATCCAGAATATATGTTAAAAATTCTCAAACCTGACATAAAGCATGACTTTGTTCTTTCAAATGTGTCTCTGCATATATTATTCTGGTTATCACAAAGCCCTGTGAGGAAGTGGTCTAATGATACAGGAGCCTGGTTGAGATGTGTTAAGTGGTCGTTCAAGATTCATAGCTCGTTCCTGGAAAAGGCTGGCCCAGTGTCCTCACCTTCCCTATCTGCTTTGTCACTGAGGGATGCTGTCTGTTCCTCCAATGATGTGATTTTCAGCATCATCCCTTGTTTGTCTTTGCAGTTATCACCCATGGCCCCCTGGGTAATGCTGGATGTTCCAGATCTGAGTCATGTGTCATGTTAGGTCATCTTTGCTTTCAGATGTAGAAATTTCTTTGTGGAGGTCACGCATCAGCTCTTTACGGAGGTAGCCTGGTATATTGAAACGTACATGGGATTCAGGGATAGACAGACACGGGCTGACCTCTCTGTCCTGATGTTCTTTATTTGGATCATTTGATGCAAGTTTCCTGTTCACCAGTGAGTCTCTGTTTCCTCATCATTCAAATGAATTCCACTGAGGAATGAAATAACATGTGCACAATTCCTCGCCTGGAGTAATCACCAACAAATGATGACTCACCTTTTCTTCCTTGCTTCCTACACCATCCTCCAAGAAAAGTAATCATCGAGAGAAGGAGGGATGAAGCGAATGAAGAACCAAAAGGAACCTGCTTCTGCCTTCTCCTTGGGGGCTTTGAGAGATCTTTGCAGTTTATTATAGTTAATTTTCTGCCAGCATTGATCAATTTTGAGGAGTTTTTAAACTCCAGAATAGCTTTTAATTCTCAAAGGAGAGGCTGAGGGGAAAAATGAGACGACTCGTTTATTTTCTGTTCTCCTTCGAAACAGAGCCGCTGTTCATTCTTGCTTTGTCTGCAGAAAGATTTTGCTCTTCTGCTCACAGAAACATCAAATTTTAACTATTGATGTCTCTCCAGGGAAGACTTATCAGAATTTCTGGAGGGTCTGGATTGTAAGCGTTCATTCTCTGATGAGCGGGAAGGAGCGTTAGAGACTATATGGCACAATCCTTTCATTTTACTGATGATGAAACTGTACTTTGAGAAGGGAAATGGCTTGTCCAAGTTCACCCTGGGAGAAACTAGTGTAACCTTTCAGTTCTCCGAAACTTCTCCTGTAGACTTACTCATTATGAAACATTGGTGAAGAATGGCAATCCAGTGGTGACTCTTTGACATCATTCAGTAAGTTTTTTTAGTAACTTTATCAAAATGGGAACTTAGCCATTAGAAACAAAACTATGTAGAAGAAGTTTAGAGGCAAGAGCTTTACGTCCTTCAAAAAGTGATTGCTATGCCCAGTTAATTTACTTAGCAAACCTTTTCCTTCTAGAGGACAGTCATCCATGGTCACACTTCCAGGGGACTATGAACCCCTGAAATTAAATGCAGAACTTTCTGTATGTTTCCTGATGAGAGGGTCAGGTAGATTCTAGAACCCCCAGAGTCAGCCAAACATAACCTCCCTTCAAAAGCTGTTCTATAGGGTAACAAAAGGAATAATTTCTCGACTATCTTTGGTTTTTAATTAGAGAAAGTTCTAGATTTTTTTTATTAAACAGGCTACATCCACTTTGTTGTGTGTGTGGTCATCAGTGGAAACTGGGAAACATGCAGTGGCAACTCCTGAAACCCACCTCCTCTCCTGAAGTTTGGTTGGGCAGCGTGGAAGAAGCTAGTAGAACCTTCCTACCCTCCCCTCCCCCACTCACTGTCATCCCAGGACCCTGCTCCCTCGTAGTCAGCAACATATCAATTCCAAGCCTGGATATCATCTGGGGCTGCATGACAACATTATTTCCCCTCTTAGTCACGCTTCCCTCTTTTCTTTCTTCTTGAGGAAGTCTTTCAAGGGTAATGTTGTATCAGAAAAGATTTGTTATTTCTGTGGTGACTTTAAAACCTTACACTTGAATAATGCGTGACTTCAGTGTGTGTCTGTGCGTGTGTCTCTGTGTGTGTGTATCTTATAGACCTCTCTGAGGCTCAGACTTGTTACTGTCTCCTTCCCTAGGACAGTCTTTTCCAGTTTGCCCTGCTCTTTTCCAAATGAGCACAAATGCAGCATGACCTACTTTGAGGATAATTACTCCATAGATCTTTGGATACTGTATATTTTTATCAGTGGTGATTAGAGCTGTGAAAAATAAAGATGAGCCAGACATTTTTTATGCTCCCATAGAGATTATAATTCCATTGCCTGCCCCCCCCCCCATTCATCAGGCACCCACTATGTTGAACGTACTGGGAATACGAGAAAAAAGAAAACTCCATAAGCCTTGCCTTCAACCCAGCGACCCTGTTCTCTGTATACGTTGCAGAACAGCCACTTTGGATAGTTTAGGCTTCTCAAGACTGGAGTGTAACATTTCTTTTTTGAAAGTTTTAAAGTGTGAGGAGAAGGGCAGCCTGCCTGCTGGTCGTGTTGAAAAACCCTCCCAAGCTGGAGTTACTGCTGAGGAACCTTCCTCGTCAGGAAGCCTTGGCCTCTGAGTGTCTGCCAAGATCCGCAGAGATCGGGTCTCATAAATCTGTGCTGAGAGTCTTCCTCAGGGTGTCACCCCAGCCCCCCAAATTGGCATGCCTGTTCTCCTTCCCCACCATCAGCCTGCTGGGAGTGCTGACCTCTGTTTGCTGAGCTCGGCGTCTGTTTTCATGCAGGCTTCTGGGAAGAACCTGGTGGTGTGTGGCTTGTCACAGGTCCTGTACAAAGTACAGCAGTCTTGTTCATTTTTCTCCATTAGGTCTTTTGGCCCAAGGACCTGGGAACGATGGATCAACTTTACCATGAGAGCTTTTACAGTTGCCAAAGTGTGGAAGGTCAACGTCACAGCTGCAGCCTTCACAAGGAGGTGGAGTTGTTTATAGCCTGGTAAGCCACTGGAGAGAGATTTTAGGGGGTCCGTGTGAGAAATAGGACATGGGAAAGAGTTGAAACATCCTTGAAGTTCCCTGACCCAAAAAAAGAACTCTGAACACCACAACCAGGCATGTCCCTTGGTTGTGTGGCACCTGCCCACCTCCCATCTCATCCCTTACTTCTCCCCTCCTTGCCCTCCAAACTTCATCCATTTTGAACTGTAGTTGTTCCTTGGTATCCATGGGGGATTGGTTCAAAATCCACAGATGCTCAAGCCCCTTAAATGAAATGGTGTAGTATTTTCATATAACCTACACATATGTTCCTGTATAGAATAAATCATCTCCAGGTTATGTATAATACCCAGTAAGTGTAAATGCTGTGTAAATGGCTATAGTAAACACAATGTAAGTAGTTGCTGGCACACGGCAAATTCATTTTTGCTTCTTGGAACATTCTAGAAATTTTTTTTCGCGATTTTTGATCCACAGTTGGTTGAATCCACAGATGCGGGAACCGCAGATTTGGGGAGCCAGCTGTCTGTCCGTCATATTCCTTCTGTTCCTGCTCAGGTCTAGGACTTTGTATGTGTGTTGGCTTTATCTCTTCTAGTTTGGCTCTTCTAGTTTGGCTAACTGCAAATTGTTCTCCATGATTCTCTTTGTATCTTTGTTACCAGACCTTCTAGAACCTTCCATATGAGGAAACTGTGCTTCCTCTGTGCTCTTGTAACCCTTTGTTCATCCCCTTATGTAAAATTCCCTCGTCCCACTTACAGCAATTGCTTATTTTTCCTTATTAACACAATGAGAGACTGTGTTCTCAGCACAGAACCCAGACAGTGCCTCTTGGACATGCACAGAAGTAAGAAAAGACACTACAAAGTATCTTGGGATGTAGAGTCAGAATTTGAACTTGACTTTCTATTGCGTGATCTTGGGTAATTTCCTTAATGTCTCTAAAATTGCTTCCTTGTTTTTAAATGGTGATGGTACCACCATCCTTGTAGGACTGATGCAAAGATGAAAAGGAGACTTTAGGAGGTACTGGATATGTTCATGACATAGATTGTAGTGATGCTTTCACAGGCACAGACGTACCTCCAAAGTCATCAAGTTGTATGTGTCAAATAGGTACAGCTTTTTGTATGTCACTCATACCTCAATGAAATGGTTTTTAAAAGATTAAAAGGAGCTAATGGGCATGACATACCTCACAGATGTTATTCATCAACACGCAAGGCCAGTTTTTATGGAATGGGCAGTAACAATTTTAAAGAATCTACCTCACCTTCCACAGGGACAAAGGAAACAAGATTCCCAAATGTGGGCACCATGAAAACTAATCAGAAGTTTTTAAAAAATAAGTACTTATTCTTGTAAGTATAAGTACTGAACATCTTCTAAGGGCCCACATACAATATGCTTTGCATGCATTATCTTGGCATAATTACCATGCAAAATAGGAATTAATATCTCCATTCTATACATGAAAAAGAGTTTCAAGGAGAGTGTGCAACTTTCCCAAAGCCATGAGAGTTGCAGACTAAGAATTTGGACCCATGTCTGTCTAGTTTACTAGTTTCACAATCGGGTGATTTTTACCAGCCTCCTCTCCAGGGATCTCTGGCAATATCTGCAGACATTTTTCATTATCACAAACTGGGGGAGGAGGCGCTGCTGGTATGTGGGCAGAAGCCAGCAATCCTGCTAAACATCCTGCAGTGCGTACAACAGCCCCACCACGAAGACGTCTCCCCAAGTGTCAATAGTGCTGAGGTCGAGAAACCCTGGTCTTGCTTCACCGCTTTAAGGTTTTCCTTCATTCATCCCAGAGATAAAATGATGTTTCATTCATATGGTTTTGATCGTATGGAGTCATGTAAGAGGGCAGTGCCATTTCAGAAAGTTGTCTGTGCCAATAAACTCAAATAACTTTGTGCCCTATAAAAAGGGGTGGAATAAAAATGGCCACGTAGACATTGACACAGTGAACAACTCAGTTAGAACTTTAGCCTAATTGGTTTATGGTTCAAAAACTCCACACCCAGGAATCTTGGATATGGGAGGGATACGGGTGTTAAAAACAGGAGGAATGCAGACAGAGGTTAGTTCCACCCCCTGCTCTACTTAGCGGCTGATTGTTGTTGGGACATTTAACTGATCTCCTAGGATTTGTCCTCTTCATCTGCAAAATGGGGATATTAATGCCTGACTCAAAGAGCTGATGTAGGGATTATGTGACATAATGTGGTAAAGTGTTAAGTAAAGGCGATGGCAGGAACATAGTAGGTGTTCTATGTTATCCCCAAAGAGCATCCTCTTTGAATGTGGTCTTTGCCTCATCCTCTGCATGTAAATGGTAGAAATTAAATTCACACCCAGTGAAAGCCTGTGCTTTCCTCTCTCCTTGCCACCTTCCCAGCACTCACCTTTGATGGGACTGGTACCTCTGGAGGCGATGACAACAACCTTCTGACCCCAACAACCCCCCAACAAAATAGTGACAAATGATACTTCACTAGGGTAATAATCTCTCACATTCTTTTTCCCCCTTACATTTCTTACCCTCTTTTCTCCAGCTGCTGAACAGAAACCTTTCTGGTCACAGTGGGTGGGCAAAGGGGGGCACCTTCAGTGAGAAAGGATGCTGAGGGCATAGGTCTCTCTGATCATCTTCATCCTACACCTGGCGGATCTCCTGATTTGCTCTGTCTTTACATGTTAGGTATTCAGTTGAGCACAATGCCATTTAATCAAGATCTCCAACATGCCAAAAACTTGGCTAAGCACTGTATATGCCTCATCCTATTTTTTATTGATGTAAAGTCAGTTTGCAGTGTTGTGTCAATTTCTGGTGTACAGCATAATAGTCATATATACATTCACTTTCATATTCTTTTTCATTATAGGTTACTACAAGATACTGAATATAGTTCCCTGTGCTATACAGCATAAACTTGTTGTTTATTTATTTTATATATACTAGTTAGTATCTGCGAATCTCGAACTCTTCCTGTTTTATCATGGCGCCCAACAAGATATTCAATAAATGTTTATTTTTCAAATGGAGGTACTGGGGATTGAACCCAGGACCTCGTGTATACTAAGCACACACTCTACCACTGAGCTACACCCTCCCCACTGACATTCAATAAATGTTTGCTAAATGGATAATTTATGCAATAATTTTATAAGATCAGAACTACACATCCATATTTTACAGCATCTCAGAGAGGCTAAGAAGCATGGTGAGGCTCACAGAGGAGCTGTGGGGAAGGACCAGCACCAGGACCCCAATTGTCTGACTCCAGAGCCCACATTCTTAAATAGGACAAAGAACTGGCGTGTAATGTGTAACATTAGATGGCACACACTAACCAGAGCCCAATGCCGATAGGAGTCATTCCACGTGCTGGCTGTAAGTACGTCCCGCTTTCTCTGACTCATGAAAACATCTCCTTCATACACTGACTTATTCAATAGGTATTTATTGAGTTTATACTACTTCCCAGATGCTGTAAGAAAAACAGACTGAAACTCCTGCCCACCTATAGTTTCCACACCAGTGAGGTAGCAGGTGATGGTCCCTGAAGAGAGAAACAAATTATAATATACAAATGCTGACCAAAGAGATGAATGGGCTTCAGAAACTCTGAAGAACAAGGGGCCAGACACACACAGAGGAGAATAGAGAGAGAGAGAGAGACCCATACATGATGGAGCAAAGACTGGAGTTACGGAGCTACAAGCCAAGGACTGCCAAGGACCGCCAGCCACCACCCAAAGCTCAAAGAGAGAGCATAGTTCTGCCAATGCCTTAACTTTGGACTTCTGGCCTCCAGAACTGTGAGAGAAGACAGTTCTGTTGTTTTAAGCCACCGAGTTTGTTGTAGTTTGCTAGGTGTGAGGGCAACCCTGGGAAATTACATACAGTAGCTCATTCATCACAAGGACTCTCACAACTGGTCACATCCATTCAGGCTGAGAAGCCCTGCTCGTGAATTGGCCATGTCTGAGGCGTTAAGGGGCTTCTTCCAGGCACCCCAGCTGGTGGGATCCTGTCTTCCTTACCACAGTGCTGAGACACCTTCCACTCTTCCAGAAGGGCTCCTTCTGGAGCTCTTTGGGAGAGTGCTTCTTCCCCCAAACTGGCTTGAAGGTTGGCCGTCACATGGTCCTAGTGGCCACATAAGCAGGGGGCAGGCCCGCCCTCGCAGCCTGGCCTCAGTCCTGACTGCAGCGTGAACTGAGGGGTTGGCTGTATCTCTTGGCCCAGCAAAAAGTGTTCTCACTGCCCAAGCTTATTGGCCTCACATCTTCTTTTCCTCCAAAAGGGTCAAAAAAGAGGGGATATGGGGTTACACAGACTGCATCCTCTCTGTGGGGAGGTTTGGATTACCCTAACATGGATTTCAGATAATTAAGGGGAAAAAATTGTTTTGTTTGCCCCAGAGTACTTCTTTGCTTGAACAAGTGTTCCTCATTAACTAAATAAGTTTTTTTTTTTCACCCTGAATGGCAATGGCGTCTTCTTACTAGTGCAAAGTTCCTTGTCTAAAGAATTGTTTTAAAGAATTGAAAGGGGATCTGTTTCAAGAAGAGTGATGAATTCACTATTGGCAGGAAAAGAGAGAGTCTTCCAGCATGCTAATGCCAGGCATGGATTCAGACACACTTGGGCACCAGCTGTGTGATCTTGGTGAGTTAGTTACCTCTCCAAGAGCCGTCATTCTGAATTCACAGAATAATTTTCAAAATTCAGAGAGATAATCACAGAAGTGCCTGCCGTTCTTAAGCACTTGGTCAAGGACCCCATTGTCCTATAGGAAGATGGCAGCCCAGGGAGTGGTGGTGTTCACTCAGGCATTGGGACCTGGTGGGAATGGCTTATTAGCATTCAAGATATGTCCTAGATTCCATTGCTTGAGGATGCTTGAGGCACCAGAATGCTTTCTGGTGTGCCATGTGGACTTTATTTTGATACCAGACGGCAAGGAGGTTTACATTCGC